ACCCTTCCCAGAAGAAAAAGAAAGGCTTTGTTAAGCCATATTCAGAAGTTAGAGATGTCCTGAAACTGTTTTATAGCAGCGGTATCTCCAGGAATTAGCTGTCTACAGTTATGGTACAACTGACCAATTATCAACCAGTAGGAGAAGACACGCAGAAGAAGGGATGGCCATGCAGTCAGGAACTGGGGCTGAACTGGCGCAAACAGGCCAGACATTTGAGAGAAGGGGCTGTCCTAAGGAGGCCATATCCATCTAAGCAGGTACTCTGTCCAGAAAAATCCTAACTCCTGACAGAAAGGCAAAGCAGGATCTGGAACCAAACAGAGACAACCTGGACTCACTCTTCTAGACCATAAACAACTCTGAGCCTTTTGCTTCTTCCTCACTCACATTTTTCCAACAGACGTGTTTAACTGCTTTATGCCGTCTCCTACACCAACTACAGAGAGCAGCATGCAAGTCTTCATCCTTATTGTTTTGCAGAAGAGTATGGCAATCTGCAAAGGTGATGAGGTGAAAGGAGTAGCTTCAGGGCCAGCACAGCTACTTAGGAGGATCTGATTAACTCAGATCTTCCACTCAAACCTCTCAATGTATGAAGTTTTCTGCACATAGCTTCTTCCTGAAATCATCACAAGCTTTTAAGACTAAAAACTACACTAGCCCTCTCCGCCTGGATATGAAAACTAGCAGGCAGTGGAGCAGTATTAATCTGTATTACAATGGTACCTACGAGTCCAAATTAAAGCCCTACTGCAGTTCGTCACATTACAGTTAGTACAAGCAAAAAAGACAGCGTGTACAAAGTTTTAAAACATGACATAACCTGAAGTATTTGAAAGCAGAGCGAGAAAATTTAAAGACAGAACTTCAGAAAAATACATTGAATGCTTAGCACGCTGGGGCGGGGGGGAGGGGGGAGAGTATCAGGCTGTTAGGAGATACTATTTATTTTTAAATATTGTTCTCAAAAGTAAGGCAGATCCTGAATCCCAGAGTAAGGCTGAAAATCAGATTAAAGAGCAAAGTTTTATTTGGCTGTCCAGCATAATACTCAAGCCAAAATTGATTGGGCAACTTTCAACTTGGCCAGATTTAAGGAATGTGGCAGTCATATTACTTCAAGAGTTATAAAAGTAAAGCTTCTTTAAAATTTGAAAGCACCTACCCGTGAAGCCAGACAGGAACAAGTACTGGGATCCCGACAGTTCTCCCACTTCATTCTCAAACTCAAATACATGTTTCAGGTGTGTTCAGCTATGCTTTTGGTTCTACGGATGTCTTAGTAAGGAATTCGCTCAGAAGCTTTCCCTTAAATTAACATGGATTTTATTGTGTGCATATGTTCAGGGTCTACAAATCAAAGAAAGTGGATTCGAACTGTAACCCTGGCTGAGGATCAGTGCAACACCCATTGTTGGAGGGGAAGGGGACTGTATCTTACATTTTAAACTTGTGTTGCAAGGAAACTATAATGCATTGGTATCTGAGGACACAGCTGACTCTCTTGTAGATATTAAAATAACACATAGCTCTCTCCAGTCTCAGCTACGTATACAGTCAAAACCCTTTGCCTTTCTGCCTATAAGACTACATTCTACCTATCATTCATGCTGAATGGCAATTCTCATCCTAAGTCACTCTTCAATTGTTTCACCTTTACTCTGCCTGCAGTAAGATTCATAAAACAACAAAGATTTTCAGAGTCCTGAAATGTCTTTAATTCCCCAGTTATGGAACTTCTTCCCCATGGCTTTAAACAACATACAGATTGGAGAATACGCAGTACTGAAAAAATAAGAGGTTTTAGGATCAAATCTCATGGCTTTCCAGCTGAAAATTTACATCAGGAGACAGAAGATTCTTCATTTCATATTAAAATGCTTGCTAATAGGCCCATCCTATCTCAAAACTTCAGATTTCCCATAAAGTTTCATACTGCACAAAATATTTAGGGTATTTTTAAACACTTTCAAAATCACAGTCATTCTTTTCCTACTATGTTCAAGCAGTCCAACTCAATAACTAGGGCAGCCTGGTTTAAAGACAAAAAACCTCATAGTACTTAAAATGTAACAGTGCCTAAAATAGTTTTTTTTAATAAGCTGTGGCCCATATAAAGTGCTCTAAAAAAATGGCCAAATTCTCATCTGGGATGGTGAGCATAACTTGTGGCTTTTCTGTTCATCCCTAATATGCTATTTTATATCCTCGTCAATAAAAAACCCTACACTAAATACATAGCGTCAAAAAGAACGGGATAGAAACAGTGCCAGCTCTCAAGGACAAGCTATGCTTCTTCTAACCGCACCTTCCGTATTCTCAGGCATCTACTGGAAAAAAAAAAAAAGGTGGCTGAATGCAAGTAAAGCAAATGACAAACTTAACCAAAAAAAATCCTTTCCTTCAAAATATTTTTTTCTTATTGTTGATAATTTTAATTATGACTTTTTTCTTGTGGTGCTAATCATCTTATGTCTGTAGGAGCAATATGCTTCCATGGAGTACGTTCATATTTGTCAAGACACTGAGACAAGCATGTAATTTCCTGTAATCATCGCTTTTTAAGTGCTCCCTTAAAGCATTTCTCTGTGGAATGCAACGGAAATTATCTGGAGAGCTTCTTGTATTGTTTTAAAGAAACATTCAGACTACATTCGCTTAAAACACAATTCCTCCTTCCTCCTCCCTAATCCCAGAAGAAACCAAGACAAGGGCAAGACAACAGAATTATTTCCCTTCAATAAAAATCAACCAAAGTGTCTTTGAGGACATGTAAACATCAAAGTTTTCTTTAAAAATATCAATTAGCATAACTACAAATGGGAGCAAAGGAAAGTTTTGAAAAAGAGCAAACTTCAAAGCTAGAACTAACAGAGACAATTCTCTCTTCACCTGAGCCAGGGAGTTGGAGGAGAGAAATAATTAAGTTTACATCTGTTATACCAAGCTCCCTTCCTCACACAGAAAACGACATTTTTTTAGACATACAGATTAGCTTGAGTAAGAGGTGAAGAAAGGGCATTCCCAGATGGCATCTAGCTACAAAACAAACTGGAAGGCTAAGATGGGCTAATTAAGTAGTGGTTATCGTCGCAGTGCTGCTCCTAGACCTCATCAAGGAGTCCTTCACAACCCTGTGTCTCACCCACCTACTGCCCAATAAGCTTGTATATTCCTCCTTTACTGTCTTTCTGTTTCCCCTGAGGGAGTAACAAACTTCATATATCAGAACTTCTTGAAAAGCCATCTCAATGAATTTCTCATCTGAAATACAGTATTCCCTTTTAAGTCCATGTACAATTCTGATAATGAACTGAAACATGCTTTTGTAAGTCACATCTGAAAGGAACAGAGCAGGTTCCTGTGCAAACAAGGACATAATCAGATATGCTTTTCATAGAATTATAGAATCGTTTAAGTTGGAAAAGACCTTCAAGATCATCAAGTCCAACCATTAACCTAGCACTGCCAAGTCCACCACTAAACCATGTCCCTAAGCACCACATCTACACATCTTTCAAATACCTCCAGGGATGGAGACTCAAACACTGATGGCATCTAGCTACAAAACAAACTGGAAGGCTAAGATGGGCTAATTAAGTAGTGGTTATCGTCGCAGTGCTGCTCCTAGACCTCATCAAGGAGTCCTTCACAACCCTGTGTCTCACCCACCTACTGCCCAATAAGCTTGTATATTCCTCCTTTACTGTCTTTCTGTTTCCCCTGAGGGAGTAACAAACTTCATATATCAGAACTTCTTGAAAAGCCATCTCAATGAATTTCTCATCTGAAATACAGTATTCCCTTTTAAGTCCATGTACAATTCTGATAATGAACTGAAACATGCTTTTGTAAGTCACATCTGAAAGGAACAGAGCAGGTTCCTGTGCAAACAAGGACATAATCAGATATGCTTTTCATAGAATTATAGAATCGTTTAAGTTGGAAAAGACCTTCAAGATCATCAAGTCCAACCATTAACCTAGCACTGCCAAGTCC